TGGACTTCAGGCCTTAGAGCCTCTCCTCCTCATCCATGAGAACAGCATCATCTGTATCTCCTGGCTCTCCATTGGGATTCTCTTAAGAACACCCGACTCCACCTAGCATCCAACTTAAAGGCCTCTAAACTCATCTGCTTTCCCAGTCAAATCTGGCCTCAACATCCCTTAGATAATCAATCCACATGTAGCTGACCGAGCAAGCCGGGGACACAGAGGATTCCTCACTCCCTATTTCTTCCTTCTCTGCTCCAGGCTTTATCTGTTTTTGTCTGACCTACCTCCACCCACACTGTGTAAACGTTGGGTCTTTAAATTGTGTGAGTTTATTGCAAAGTGGGAGCCAGAGCCGGGCGGAGCAGGAGCAGGGGAAGCAAAGGAGCAGGCCAGCTGCGGGCGCACACACCTGCTCTCACACCTGCACCTGCAGGCGCACACACCTGCTCTCGCACCTGCACCTGCACCTGCGGGCGCACACACCTGCTCTCGCACCTGCACCTGCGGGCGCGCACACCTGCTCTCGCACCTGCACCTGCGGGCGCGCACACCTGCTCTCGCACCTGCACCTGCGGGCGCACACACCTGCTCTCGCACCTGCACCTGCTCCAAACCAAGCTGCTGCTCTAACTCTCCTAGGATATGCACTGATCATTTGTTTGTGAATTTGATTCCAAATTCTAGACTCTAGTTCTTCAGCCTGCTGCACCTCTGGCCTGCTGTGCCCTCCACGTGGACACCTATGTGCTTCTCTGCCTCCTGCAGCCTGCTGAACCCACATGGACATCTCCGTTCTCTCCTGCTCTTTCCTTGCTATCTCTGGCTCCAGCCTGCACCCCACAGCGCCCTCTTGGAGCTTATAGGAACACACCTGCACATGTTCTGTTTTGTAACCCTCTCTTCTTCCTCCAAGGACTCAGATTTTCTTATGACAGCTTGGGCTCAGTACAGAAAGTTGGCAAACTTGATTTCCAAATTCTCACAAATCGTAACAATGCTACTGCACAGACAAATGATCCCCAAATATCTTATATCTAAACTTGCTCTGCTCTATACTTTCTCTACTTTCCACTCTTAAAAATCATTTCTCTCTATGAATTCTTTGTGCTCTGCTCTCAAAAAAAACAATCTCTTAAGATTATGCTATAAACTCTTATCTCAGAATTCATAAATTCATTGGGTATGGTTTAAATCTATGAAATCTGTAACAAATGTTGGCTTCAAATGTATAACAAAAGGCTTATAATTAAAAATCTGGACATGGGTATATGTATGTGATTCAACTCTTGTTTAGGAGATGTGTGTGTGTGTGTGTATGTGTGTGTGTGTGTGTGTGTGTGTGTGTGTAACAATGATTCAACTTCATATGTGTGTGTATGCAACTTGGATTCAACCCTGTGTGCATATGTGTATGTAACTTAGATTCCATTCATACTTATTAGGAGGTACGGCTTTGTTGGAGTAGGTATGGCCTTGTGTCACTGTGGAGGTGGGCTTTGAGGTCTCATATATGCTCAAGCCACACCTAGTGTCCCAGACCACTTCTTGTTGCTTGTGAGTCAAGATATAGGACTCTCAGTTCTTTCTCCAGTACCATGTCTGTCTGCACTCCATGTCACACCATGATAATAATGGACTAAACCTCTGAAAATGTAAGCCACCCCAGTTAATGCTTTTCCTTTATAAGAGTTGCCATGGTCATGGTGTCTCTTCACAGCAATAGAAACCCTAACTAAGACAGGAAGCAACAAGTCTTAAATATTTTGGATAGGTATGGATTTTTTAAGATGATACAAAATTAAGGTTATATTTGATATAATATACTATATATGTGATTTGTGTCTGGTATAGAATATAATGTATATGATTATAAAACTTTAAGGTTGGGTGCTCGAGAGATGGCTCAGAGATTAAGAGCATTGGCTGCTCATCCAGAGGTCCTGAATTCAATTCCCAGCAACCACATGGTGGCTCACAACCATCTATAATGAGCTCTGGTGTCCTCTTCTGGCATGTAGGCATACATGCCGGCAGAATCTGTATGCATAATAAATAAATAAATCTTTAAAAAAAAACCTTTAAGGTTATAAAGGTCTACTCAGATTAACAAATGCTGATTTAAGGCTTATGCTTATCTACTTATATCTTTGCTAACTGTTTAACACCAAGCTACTAGAAAATTTAGATAAGTAACAACATATATTTGATTAATAAGGTATATTTGATAATCAAGATTTATAAACTCAGGCTCGCAGCAATATTGGTCAAATTTCTTTGTCTTTTAAGCTTTAGCTATTTAGACAAACTAAGTCATAAAAAACTGCAATATTCCATAATGATGCACTATAAAAGGATCAGTAAAGTTGCCAGTCTTTCTATGGACTGTATCTATGATTAGAAGTTTTATTTTGGCCAGGCGGTGGTGGCTCATGCCTTTAATCCCAGCACTTGGGAGGCAGAGCCAGGCAGATCTTTATGACTTTGGGCCAGCCTGGACTACAGAGTGAGATCCAGGAAAGGTACAAAGCTACACAGAGAAACCCTGTCTCAAAAACAAAAACAAAAACAAAAAAAAGTTTTATTTTGATATTAAAAGAACTTTCATTCAAAAATTATTTTTTTAAATAACTTATTTAAATTTAGTTTAATGTACATTGGTGTGAAGGTGTCAAATCCCCTGGAACTGGAGTTATAGACAGTTGTGAGCTACCATGTGGGTGCTGGAAATTGAACCCTGGTCCTCTGGAAGAGCAGCCAGTGCTCCTAACCACCTCTCCAGCTCCCCCGCAAATTGATATTTTTTAAGGCTGAACCTAACAGGTATGAAATGTAAAGTCCTACTCTCATAAAAGCTACTAACATTGCAAATTGTTAAGGATAATTAAGACATGCAAGTTAATGGTCAGTCACCTTATAAAGGATCAAATTCTTCAATGTGTCTAGATTAATGTAATTAATTACAGGAATAGCCTTATATAGCCTCCTGTATATGCTTCAAAGTTAAGCCTAAAGCAAATAACTAAATCAGGTATACTTAATAGATAATGGTCCTCAAAGTCTTCAGAGATCTGCTGAATAGGGCATTTAAAATGTTCCATAAAAAAAGCTTTTTGTGATAGAGAGAAGTGCCAACTCCTAGAAGCACCCCTCATCTCCTCCAAAGAAAATGATGGGGCACAGAAGAACCCCTACCTGGAGCTTGCTTTAAATGTGGCAAAGCTGACCGCTGGGTGAAAACCTGCCTTCACCTTGCCTGCTGCCAGACCCTGTCCAGGCTGTGGACAAGCAGGACACTGGGGAATTGATTGCCCCACTTTCTCTAGATCATCAAGTTCCTCCTCCACAGAAAGTCTGTTGGATCTTCTGGGCCTGGCAGCTGAAGACTGATGCTTCTCCAGGATCTCTGTTCACAGTGACCACAGAGGAACCTAAGGGGGTTATCCAGGTAGCCAGTAAGTCTTGTCATTTTTAATAAATCCGGAAGTGGCTTGGTCTGTACTTCCTGCTTACTCAGGTAAGATTTCCCCTTCTCTGGTCTCTGATGGCCTTGATGACTTGGCTAGTGACAGCTTTGTCAGTGTCACAGCAGCAGCCAAGGCTCCAGCTGCCTCCTCAGTTCTCTCCACGTGTGAAAATCAGGCCTCAGGCCTCACTTTCCTAGAGCTACTAATAGGTCTAGGAAACTGTCTAGACACAGTTTACCTGCTACCAGACTCTAAAAAGAGATAAACTCCCACAACAGATTTCAGTTTCAATGTAACTTCTTATTATTCCTTTTTTTAAAGAAACTCACTTGACAATGACTGCTCTTAGTAATCAACCACCTGTGTCTGGTGGTGTAGAGTTTATGTGAGGTCTGAGGATATGAAAGCCTAAGTTGTGAGAATTTAAAACAATGCTTTAGGGTCTAAGAAGGTGTGTAAATGCGAGTTATAAAGATCTGAGGACATGAACGCTTAAGTTGTGATAAGTGACTTAAGATATTTAAAAGAAAATGAACCTGAGCATGGTGGTATGTGCCTTTAATCCCGGCACTTGGGAGGCGGAGGCAGGTGGATCTCTGTGAGTTTGAGGCCAGACTGGCCTACACAGCTAGCTTAGGGACAGCCAAGGCTACACAGAGAAACCCTTTCTCAAAAAGCCAAAACCAAAACCAATCAAATAAAAAGTTTCAGATTTCTTTCCCTCTTTATGCAAACCAATCAGCAAAAGATAAATACTGTATGATTCATTGCAGAAAGGTACTAAGAATAGTCAAATTTATAGAACAGAAAACTGAAATGCAGTTACCAGGGCCTGAGGGATGAAGAATGAAGGTGTGGCTGTTAATGACCATGAGTTCAGATTTGCAGGTGGACGTGCCCCAGAGACCTGTTTACAGTGTGAAGGAACTCAGCACTACTGGACCGCATATTTAGAAGAGGTTGATGGGGTGGAGAGACAGCTCAGTGGTCGCGAGTGCTTGATGCCCCTGCAGAGGCCTGAGTTCAGTTCCCAGCACCCATGTCAAGTGGCTGACAACCTCCTGCCACACCAGCTCCAGGCCCTCTCCTGGCCTCGGTAGGCATCTGAACATGTACATATGCATATACACATGCAAATAAAAACAAAATCTTTAAAAATGGTTAAAAATGAAATCTTAATTTTTTTTCCTGCTATGCGCCCCCGCCCCTCCCCACCAGACAGGGTCTCACAATATAGTTCTGGCTTCCTGGGACCTCCTATGAAGATCAAGATGGCCTTGAACTCACAGAGATATGCCTACCTCTGCCTCCCAAGTTTTGGGATTAAAGGTATATGCTACCACATCCAGCTGCTATGTCTTTTTAACCAACAACACACACACACACACACACACACACACACACACACACACACACACACAAACTCAAGCCTTTAAAATCTTTAGCTATCTGATACGTAGAAAAGATGATTTTTCATGCAGAGTTGGAGATAGTAGATCCCTTGAGTATTCAACCACTCTTCTTAAACTATTTTCTTACCCTAGAGGAAGTGTTCCAACGACATCCACGCTGTAGGACTCTTGCAAGTTAAACCCTGCGGAAATGCCAGTTCCCATCACCACCTACAACAGACACAAAACCAAAAAGACTTTAGAGCCAAGTCCTGACACACCACAAAATCAAGGCTCAAAGAATGTGCTGACCAGGAAATCTGTTCTCACTTCTCAGGGTTAGGAGGGGATCTTCAGCTGCTGTCGACTCCTCTCAGTGAGTTTACCCCACAGAGAGCCCACAGCCTGAGGCCTGAGGCCTGAGGCCATGCCATTTATTTGTGCTCTGTTCCTAGCTGAGGTGTCCGGGTAGCTAACTGCAGCAGGAGGCCATCACTGGGGTTGACCTTGAGTTTGGGACAGGTAGGCCACATTATGTGTGAGGTGAGGCTGGTAATGTCAGCCTGTCACCATGGAACCCACATTTGGCTTTAGAATTCTGCTGCTACTGTCCCTCAACATGGTCTCTCAGAGTAGCACATAGTTTCCCCCAGGTCCAGAGTACACAGCATGTCATCCAGAGCGGTGTTCCCCAGGCCTAGATTTATGTGAGGTACAAAGCTAGGCCCTCCGAGCAGAAGAGCCTCACAGGAGGTGTGATAGCTACTTGCTTTATCCCCAAGAACTGCTGTTTCCAGAGCTTTTGGAAGGGCTATCCAGGAGAGAAGGAAGGCGAGCTCTAGGGATGGGCGGCTCCTACAGCAGTGGTCTCTGTATGACGGCTAGTGACGTCAGCCTGCTGTCAGCCACAGCCGGCTCAGAGGCACCAGTGTCTGCGGCTCCCTCCAGTGAAACGGCTCTGTGATGTTTGTAGCAGTTATGTCTGTCGACTTTAATGGAATCTGGTATGTGTCAAACTGGAGGAATGTCTAGAATAGTGAACTCACAAAACAAATATGGTTTAAGTACCTAGAGGCTCAATTTTATGTGGTGGTAACTAATTACTAAACCGTTGTTTTCCTATTGACATGAAGAGATGTACTACAGAATGCAAAATTAAAAACAAATTTATAATAAAAAATAAAGTTCATGCTTAAAAGGAATCATGAAGACCCTGTCGTTAAACTTTTCAGGAGAACTTTTTCTTCTCTTTTCTCTGTGGACTGCATAGATAAGAAGTTTATTTGCTTCAGGTTGCTTTTGGGGGAGGGGGTTCAGGGGAGGTTACATTTTATTGATAATTGAGTGTGTGTCTCTCTGTACAAGTGCATGTCACACTTCATGTGAGGTCAGAGGACAACTTTTGGGAGTCAGTTTTCTCCTTCCATCACGTGGGTCCTGGGGATGGAACTCATTGTTGGGCATGGTCGCAAGTGTCCTCATCCACTGAGCTATCCACTGCCCAGGCAAGAGGTTTTAAAAGCACGTGGAAGGTATTATTGAAAGACTGCAATTTCAATGACACTTGTAGAGAACCACTCCCTGGGGAGGCATGAGGGGATCTTTAAAGAGACTCTGGGCAGTGGGCAGAACTGGTACCCAAGGCAGGAAAGGCCTCCTGCATCATTTACTTCCCCAGCAGGCTCTGCTGCCCTTCGCTGGGCAAAGCTGCCTTCCACCTCTTGCTGTTCCAAGCAGAAACTGGTATTCTGCACCGAGTCCTAGCTAGAGAGGATTCTGAAATTGTTAGAGATGGTCTTTTTTGCCTTTTCTTGTTCTGAGACAGGGCCAGGATGTGGCTCAGGGGCAGACACAGTCCTAGCATTCAGGAAGCTCCTAAGCAGATTCCAAGCATAGAATAAAAGGGGAAAAAAATAACCGGTGGGGTGTTGCCAAGACCAAGGCGAGGACGAGGGCGGAAGGGGTCGAGCTCTCTGTGCGCTTACTAGACAGGTGTTTTTGCAGCTGGAGCTTCTCTCTTCAGATCCACAATGATTTTGTTGCTCTTTTCTTTCTTTTAAAAAACAAGTTCTCCCTACGTACCCCAGACTGGCCTTGAAATCATAACCCTCTCGAGTCAGCTTCACAAGAGCTGGGATCATAGACACGTGTGGCTGACATCTGTTATTTTTTTTGAAAAAAGTCTTTGTGAGGTCCAAACTTTCTACTTGGGAATCTACTAGGGCTGTGATTTTAAGGGCTATGGGAAACAATGTCACAGTGCAGACTTCTGGTTGGAGGTAGGTAGCTCGTGGTCTGAACATCAATTCAGACCACGTCCTTCTGATAATGTCTCATCTTTGCAAAAACTGGGTGTTCTGGGGTTGTTCTCTGTGAAGAGGCATGAAGGAGCAGGGTTCACCCTGACTCCAAGGCTAAGGGCTATATAATGTCCACTCCATGTACACATCCATGAATAAATAATTGTGGTCACTTATGAACATAGTATGGTTTATCTCAATATGTATGCATGTTTTTACAAAACACTACTAACTTTTCAGCCATGAATATGTTGTGAGATATTTGGACTTGACTGATGTGAGACTGTGAGGTATTTTTCTCAGCTTAGAAGAACCAGAAAACAGAAAGCGGGGGAAATTTTGTCTTTTCAAAATGGAAGCCACTTTATTAAAGTAAGTAAAGCTATTGAAGTTATTAATGGGTTATTAAAGTAATGTGTGATTTTTTTGTTTTGTTTTTTGAGACAGGGTTTCTCTGTGTAGTTCTGGCTGTCCTGGAACTCTCTTTGTAGACCACACTGGCCTCAAACTCACAGAGCTCTACCTGCCTCTGCCTCCCGAGTTCTGGGATTAAAGGAGTGGGTCACTGCCACCCAGCATAATGTGTGATCTTTAAAAAGTAAGCAGGTAATGGAAAAAAACTTAAGGAAAACAAATTCCTGCAAATCCCATCTCTCATAGATAACCAAGGTTAACATCTTCACTTAGGTTTTAAAAGTCATCTATCTCTATGTTTCAATGCATTTTTTAAAAACTATTTTGTTAGTTGTTCTGCAGAACGGGGGAGGACCCTCCCGCTCCCAGTGCCTCCATCACCCACTTCAGAATCCCTTGCAGGAGCAGGTGCCCGCGATAGCAGGGGCTGAACAGGCCACCATCTTGCATGTACTTACAGCGAAGAACTCGAGAGGAATGGGCGCTGGCAATTTTTCTTTAAATCTCTCATTAAACTCCTTGCCACCCAACAGCAAACCAAAAACCATGAGGCCAACGCCTAGGGAACACACGTTGAGGTTTTTGACATTCTGCAACACAGCAACTGTACTCTGCAACACAGTGAACACTGCAGGTTTACGTCAAGCCGCGGCTCCCGGTCTGCACGGCAGCACACGAGGTACCTCGACAGGCAGCTCCCAGAGACAGTGTGACAGAGGCTGGCTGAGCGGAGAGGAGGGACATCGCTCTGCGAGTGCAAGGCTCCCATCTGAGTTGCTGAGAAGGTTCTAGACACAGAGGGTTACCACAGTTGCATGGCAGAATGGACGCACTGAATTCTACTGTACCGTACATTTAAAAATAATGTGAACAGTGAGATACATTCGTTATGTGTCTTTAAAATATTTGATTTTTTTGATCAGTCTGCATGTGTGCCTGAGTGTATGTATTTGAGCAACATGCATAGAGGAGCCCATGAAGGTCAGAAGAAGAATCAGATCCCCGACACTGGAGTTACAGGCGAGTGTGAGGCTCCACGCGGGTGCTGGGAGAAACCCAGGTCTCGTGCAGGGGCAGCAAGCACTCACAGCTGAGGTCCGCTCCGGCCAAGCTTCTTGTTGAATATATTTTACCATAGTAAAAAAGTCTCCAAAAATTCAGCTGAGCCTCAACTGAAAAGAGAGGTGTGTGGAGGAGAGCTAGTGTAAAATTCAGTGGTGGAGTGTGTATTGGGCATGCCCAGGCCCTGGGTTCAGCCCTCAGCACACAGTCCAGAGGTTTCAATCTGAAGCATTTCTCTCTGTATCTTCTACAGATTAGAGGCAGTTTCTTTAACCTAACCACACAACTTTATACTCACAATTTTTACCCAACAACATTACGGCTTTCTTGTTCTGCTTTGCTTGAGACAGGATCTCACTAGGAGTCCTTGAACTCATGTTTCTCTGCAGTGTTAGTACTGGCATGCTCCACTATGCAAGGATTACGGTGCTTTTCATATGCTGATATCGAAATGTAGCTCATATAAAATTCAGAAAAATACCTCTGGGGCTGAGTTGTGAATGTTATGAAAGAATCAGGGTCAACCCCACAAAATACAGCAGAAGCCAATACCTAGCAAAGCTTTAGAAATCTGACTTAGCAATTGTCGTGGGAAGGTGACAGCGAAGCCAGGCAGGCTTTGGAGCCAGGAGAATGATGTCTAGAAAGAAGCCCAGGAGAGCTCGAGAAGAAAGCCAGCCTCTTAGGGCTATGGTCTGGATACCCCAAATATAATTATTTCATTTGAACCCAACACAGCAGAGAGCCCACCACACCTGCCCTGCACAGCCTAGTGTTCATGCAGGCACAGACTGCATTTCCTCTAATGGTGAGTCATTCTGAGAAGTCTCAGAGTATGAGGTGTATTTCTAGCTATCACAAGAAATTAATAATTTGAGGGATATCCTTACAGTTTGATTCCTGTATTATCAATTGTGAAATTCAATTTAAATGCCCAGAATTGTCCCAGAACCCTAAACTAAAGGTGTCTGTACTCAACTTTCAGAGCATCCTGTTCCCTTCTTATAGCACTTAAGATAGTCTGTGATGCACATTTGTACAATCATGGTTCACCATGACTGTCTTCTCAATGGACTGTCAGCCCCAAGGTCAACACTGTGTCCACTCAGCTTGTCACTCATCGCAGTGCCCAGTGAAGGCCTGGCAGAGAAACACCTGCAACGGCTACAGGCAAGGAGCTGAAAATGTCCTCTGCAGTATTTCACTGTCAACTGGCTATAATTACTTCAGGGGCCATTTAGAAATGCTTTTATTGTTTTGTTTCATTTTTGTTTGTTTGTTTTTGTTGTTGGATTCTAAAAATAGGTTTTGTAGTAGTTGTTATTATTTTGTTTTTAAGTATTTTATCTGTGTGTGCCCCCAATGAAGCCAGAAGGGGGTGCTGGGTCTTCTGGAGCTAGAGACCCAGGCAAGTGTAAGCTGCCTGACGTGGGTGATAGGAGTTCACTCTGGCACCCTGCAACGACAGCAAGCACTCTTAACAGCTGAGATGTCTCTCCAGTCCCCATTCAGGATTTGGGAAACTATTTTGTTAATGATTTCTAGCTATATTGTATTGTGTGAGAAAACGTTGAATTTTCAGGATTTGTCATTAACTTCCTATAATTAGCTTTGGCTCGATCAGTTGTTTTTACGGTGCACTTGCAAACAGCTTCCACTTTCTGTATTGTGTATAGTCCAGACACGTTTCACTACATTAAACTCATTACTTATCTGACTTAAGCCATTTATAGCTCTTTTTTTTGCCTGCTTGAATAAGCAGCTTTTAAAAGAGATGCCTTTCTTATTATATCTTCTATTTGTTTGTTTTTTGAGGCAGGGTCTCACTGTATAGCCCTGGCTGGCCAGGAGCTCACTATGTAGACCAGGCTAGCCTCAAACTCACAGAAATCTGCCTATTCCTGCCTCCAAAGGTGCTAGGATTAAACATGCATGCCACTACACCCAGCTTTCTATGATATCTCCAAGTTATTTATTAGTGTCCAAGAACAAAAAACAACCCACCCACTATAATTTGGTCTTAAAGGCTGTCTCTTCAGCTAATTAGAGTGAGTGCTGCAGACACCAACAGAGCCTTAATAACAAACTCCTTCTGAAGCAGGGAGAACCACACCCACAATGTGGGCTTCAGGCTTTAACCTTTGTCCTAGCCCTCTTCTCCGAAAGCCTTAGAGGAAGAAGGTGAAAGACAAACAGAAGCAAACGGGGTAGGGGTGTGGGGAGCCAGTGAGTCAGGAGTCTCTTACTTACATACACCACTGAAAAGATCCCACTGTACCGCTTTGTTTTAACCCCAAACAGGTATTTCAACATGGAGGTGAACACATGCACAGCAGCTGCAGTGGTGAACCCTCGCACCAAAGGCTCCGTGAGGTAAATGGCCACAAATCCAAACCTACAGACACCTAGGCAAAACTATAGTTTTAAATGACAAAGAAACAAACAAATAGCACGGTGAGTCAGAAAGTGGCAATCAGCAGAAAACATGTGATTCCTTTCTAGGTTATTTCCTCTTCCTGTAGACTTGTGGCAGCTAACAGATCACTAGTTATAAATAGTGCTAAACCGGCAATGGCTTGGGTCCCTCAGAACCTTGGCCACGCTTATCCTCTGCCGGTGAAGGGCTCATTCATGCAGGCAATACACACGCCATTCCCCCTAAGCTCATAAAGGAGGCCTCTTCCCCAAACTACCACCCACTCCATCAAACTTATTTTGCTTTTGGAATATCTGGAACACTCAAGGGAAGCTTGCTAGTCATTTTTAGTAGTAGCTAAGGTATCCACTGGGCAGCTGTTCCCAGCATCTTGAGCCCTCAGCTTTGGAGTTTTGCTGCCTGGCACTGCCCACACAGAGTGAGACCAGCTAAGAGAATTCAAAAGGCATTTCACAGACGAACAAACTGGAGTCCATCTCCTCACACTGGAGTCTCACCTGAATGATTCCTGAAAGTAAGGTCACAGACATGGCGACTTTCACTCGTAATGCGTCTCTGGCTTCCGTACCATTGGTTGCGTTTACTCCTCCTGGGATGACTATATCATCTGGTACTAACCGAACAGCCACACCACCAATCATCAAGCTAATAACAGCAAAAGGACCTGGAACAGAGGTGCATGAAGGAGCACTGTTCAGAAGCTCAGAAGTTAACCCAGCAGCTCTGATGTGATGACCTGCTCAGGGGCTCATAACTTAATTTTAACCAAAAGAACGACCCTGAGTCATTTTATCAAAAAGCAGAGAACCCGAGTGACTTCTGAGGTCTATGGTGATATTTTATTTGTACTGAAATGTGATTTTATTTGTATGTTAATAAATAAAGTTGCCTGGGGGTCAGAGCTAATAGCAAGCCATAGCAGAAGCTGGGTGGCGGCGGCGGCGGCGGCGGCAGCAGCAGCAGCAGCAGCAGCAGCAGCAGCAGCAGCAGCAGCAGCAGCAGCAGCAGCGGCACACGCCTTTAATCCCAGCACTTGGGAAGCAGAGCTAGGTAGACCTCTGTGTGTTCAAGGATACAGCCAGCATGGAGACACAAGCCTTTAATCTCAATACCAACCATCGACCTGGAGGTCTGTACAGACAGGCAGTGACGAGGAGGTCATGTGATTGGGTTTACACCAATGAGAAGGCAGAACAGAAAGTCAATAAAAAGGACAAACACACAGGAAGTAGGTCTCTTACGGAGAGGAAGGACAGCAGCGGCAGTGAAGGGTGAGGTTTTAAGCTCTTAGCTATTGCTCTGACCTCTTGGGCTATTAACTCTGCATTTGGCTCTGTGTTTCTTATTTAATAAGACTGTTCATCTACAGAGGTCCTCCTGCTCACAGATAAGAACCAGGGAAAACAGGGATATGAAGTACACAGGCTTATCTCTTCAACAGAAGGGATATGCCTGTTTTCCACCCAGGAGACTAGGAGTGAATGCAGTTAAAAGCCTGGTGGCCTGTGCTGTCTATAGGGACGGGCCACACCTGAATCCCCCAGACTATTATGTTTACCCCAAATTCTTCTCCCCAAGACCTTTACCCTGAGCATTGCTTCTCAGTGAACAGTTTAGAGAGATATAATACGGACTTTGAGGCCTGCTGACCTCTATGCTATCTAAATGACTGAGAACACACTAGATCCTAGGCCCTTAAGCTATAGAACCCATCTTCATGGTAGAGGCCATGTGTACTTTGCAAAGGAGTTTGAATATAGTCATGTCTTAAGCTTTATTGTGCACATGGGATTGAGATAATTGTTACAAAAATTGTACTATACTTAAATATGTCTAAAATAGAGTTCCTGGTGTTAGACTCTAGAAATCTGAACCAGCACCGGCTAACTAAGTCATGCTGAACTGGATTTCTTTCTTGCCTCACGTGGATGGTTTCTCAGCAGGCCGGCTGTAGCCTTTGCAGGGACCTCCACAGTGAAGCTGCGGGGCTGCAGGGTAGCTCTGTCGGGAAAGTGCCTGCTCTGCCAGCTCGAGGATCTGAGCTAGGATCTATAGTGCCCACATAAAATCTGGTGCGGTAGTGCGGTCTGTAACCCTAGTGCTTGGGGAAGAGGGTGGTATAGAGAAGTGAATCGTTGGAGCTCAGTTGTCAACCAGTCTAGCCAATCAGTGACCTCTGGGTTCAGTGAGAGACTTTATCTCAAGACATGAGGAGGAGTGTGATAGCAGAAGACACCTGACATTCACCTCTGGCCTCCACATGTGTGTGCACATGCATACATGTACATTTATACACACACACACACACACACACACACACACACGCGCGCGCGCGCATACACATGCACACACACTACACACATGTACACTACACACTTGTGAGAAAAAGAAGTGGGCATTTTACCTCATAGCTCATGTGTGGTAATCACAGGTCAACTTATGGGAGTCAGTTCTTTCCTTTTGATGGGTCACAGGGATTGAACTCAGGTCATCAGTTTTGGACACAGGCTCCTTGACCAGCTGAGCCATCAAGCCATCTTACCAGCTCAAGAGCTTCAGAACTTCTGCTGGAGCCTAGGAAAAGCTCTAGCAGGGCCCTGGGCAATTCCTGGGACCGCATGGACAAGAGATGAAGGGGAGGAGAGGGGGAAGAAAGGGAGGAAGTAGGAAGAGAGGTAGAATTGCCTAGGTAAATCCTTCTGAGATGCTGACCTCTCAGGACTGGGAGAGATGGTGAAATGATTGTTTTTCATGAATCCTATTTATTTTTAAAAGTGATGTACAATATAAGCCTCTAAGTTGGGTGGCATTTGTTACCAAACAATAGATATCCGAAACACTGTATGAGTTTGTTTGCAGCTGGCGGCCTTACAAAGTTCTAGCATTATAATTAAATTTACCTGCATCTGTTCCTAAATGTACCGAAGAGAGAACATGTATAAATCAGTGCTTAAAGTATGATGAAGATGCTATACATGCAAGGTGATTAGGAGCCCTGAGTATCACTATTAAAATAAATAAGAAGGAAAACCAAACACAGGCCAAGTGTATTGGGAAATAAAGCATTAGTCTCATTTTACAACTTTCAACAATCATTCTTTCATGCAAGGAAATTGCCCATTTAGTTAACTCAAGATTATAAGAAAGCTATTAATTTTAGAAATCTTGGTGAAGTGGGGGAAGGAAGAAGAGGAGGAAGAAGAGGGAACATGCACATGCTTTTCTGTTGCTGGGAAATGAACCCACAGTTTCACACAGGCTAGTGCTCAACTGCTGACACACATCCTCAGGAGTGTGCAGTAGCATTTTTAAGGCAGTTAATGGGTATGCAGCCACAAAAATTCTGTTAAGCAATAATAACAAGCATATAGGTTTTTACCTATAGATATGTGTCTGGAGGTTCCAAAGAAACAGTACATGATAACAGGATAAAATGAAGAGTACAAGCCAAACACCGGAGGTACAGCTGCCAGCATCGCGAAGGCCAGGCCTGCAGGACCGGAAGGCACAGACAGGGCGACGGTTAGTCAACAGCAGGGTGTGTTCCTCTTTACCGCTTGGTCTCTGATGAACAGGTGATACCTGTCTTGATGTAAGTGGATGGGTCTAGCCTGCCTTCCCTCTGCCCTAAGCCCATGAACAATCTGCTGTCCACATAGTCCAGGCAATATATTGGCTAATCTTGATTATAAACTTGACAGAATCTAGCATCACTGCAGAGAAACTTCCTGGCTGGCCTGTGAGGGATTCTGTGGACGAGGTTAACTGAAGTGGGAAAGCCATTCTAAATGTGGCCTGTGCCATCCCAGGTTTAAGTCCTGGAGTGATTCACAAGGAGCAAGCCAGCTGAGCAGCATTGTCCTTCTCTGGCTGCTTCCTGACTGCAGATGCATGTGACCAGCGGTGTCATGCTCCTGCTGCTCTGCCTCCCTCATATGACGGACCGTGCCCTAGGGCTGAGCAGAAAGGGACCTTCTTCAAGTCACTTTGTCCCGTATTTTGTCACAATGGTGAAGCAGGTGACTGACACAGGCCCTTGGCCTGTCGCCTCCCTTTTGCCAGTGGGTGGAGTTTCTGCCTCTGTCTGTCACAGGTAAGAGTAGACAATTTTCTCTTGACGGGTAGAGTCTGGTATTGATTTACCCAGATGGTGCTCTCTCGAATGGGATGCTTGAGTCTCTGTGATATCAACATCCTCCAAGTACCATTTCCTGGCCCACCCACGCCCCCCTACACCTGACTCCTAGGCTCCATTACTTGTCCTGCATCAGAAGTTATGCTCTCCCAGCCTCCTCTGTTGCCATATGCTCATTCTGTAGACAGTCTTCTTGGACAGCTATCTTCCAAGTGAGTCAAGCCTGGTTCACTTTTGGGTTTGCAGTTTTCCAACCAGAACACTTGATATTTTATTCCAAGAGACTTTTAAAATGCAAGTTGCAACCTTCAGGGGTGTTGCTAAAATTACTTTCCTTGGGGAGAGAAGTGAATAATATCTATTTCCTCCTATGGTCCCAACAATAAAGAGAGGTATGATTCAACCAAAGCGCACTCAGAGAAAGCAATGAACTTACAGAGTAATGAATGGGTGACCTTAAGGCAGCCACACCGGAAGCTCTGCACCCAGCATGGATGCTGTCTTCCTCGTGGTTCTGTAGATGGAATCCCTTCCCCATTTCTAACTTTTAGCCCAGTGGTTCTCAATCTTCCTAATGCTGTGACCCTTTAATACAGCTCATGTCCAACTATAAAATTATTTTGTTGCTATTTCCTAAGTGTGATTTTGCTACTTTTATGAATTGTAATGGAAATATCTGATCTGCAGGATCAAAACCCACAGGTTGAGAACTGCCGCTCTAGCCTCTCCAGGGATTCTGGAGTCATGTGCAGTTAGGGCAGAATTGCACATGACTGGGTAGGAGGGGCAGCTGGATACACAAGTGAGGGTCTCATGACCCTCCCTACCCCTCCTCCCAAGAGGAACAGCAACAGTGAGAAAGAGAAAGAAAGAAAGAAGCCGCAGGAAATCCTCAAGGGATGTTCCTAGCAGCCTTGTTCGTATGGCCAAACCTTAGAAACAAGATGTCTTTGAATAGGTAATAGAGTCTGTTTTTCACTCAAGAGTTAGATGGCAGTCTCTACAAACTCCAGGGGACATGGCCTGTGCTCTGAACTGCTCTCTTGCACTCTGCTTACTTGTTCTAAGTGGAAAGGAAATGCATAAGGTGTTACTTCTTTCTAGAAAATTCTTATTCCAAATTGTGTCTCAGTCTCCTCTTGCGTTCTGCTGGAGTGATGCATGGAAGAGGGAGTCTGGGGATCATCACTCATAGCTCTGCATTGGTCTTGGCATTCCTGCAATATGTAGATGATAAGCACTGTGTCCTTAGCTTTGAGATCTCAGCGAAATTTCTGGGACACCTGGAAAATGCATTTTCTGCATTTTAATGCTCTAAAGGAAAATAGCAAACGAAGAGTTGGAAAGCATCCCTGCTTCATATGCAATGATGCAGTCACTCTAGTATCGCCTTTTGGAAAAGTTATTCTAGCAAAAATAAATTTTAAAAAAGCACGTGCACTGTTCAGAGAGCCAAGTGATGTTCCAGGGCTCCTGCTGGGAACGCGCCATCCACAGGGCAATCATCCTAACGCCAAAACTTGTTTTTCTGCTCTTCTCTCCATTTTCCCAAACCAGGGCTTCTCAACAGGCGGCAATCTTGTCCCCTCCAGGTGACATCTGGCACACTCTAGAGACTTTTGTCATGATGGCAGTGCTAGTGCCGGCTGGGATCAGAGATCAGGGAGCTGCTAGTGTTCTACACCACATGGCAGTCCCTGTTGTGATACGCATTTCCTCATTTAACAATTCTGAATAGAAACCACTGGCTTTCTAGTGTTTCAGCTTCTCCTTATACAGTGACATCCCTTTTTTCATTGCCGCTAAGTTTTGTTTCCCTGGTATTCACATGGTTTCCTATGTGTGTCTTGCTTTCATTGTTTTCCGTTTAGTCTGATTCCTTGCAGAATTCCTCCTGGACAGCTCTTTGTTGTTTGTGCTCTGCCTTCTGGATGCCTGACTAGATGAAAGATGGCACATGGAGACTGATCATTGGTGTTATCTTCTTTTTATCATTACCTATTTATTTGTGTTTCCAGAAGATTTCCTCTACCTTAATTTCCAACCCTTCCATCTAATGTTACTCTAGGAACCGTCTCAGGTTTGGTTTTGGTGAGCTCTGTCTGATTCTCTGATGCTCGTTTTTATAACAGCAACCCATGATTATTTCATAGATACAGTGGGATTCTTTTTTGTCTCTTTAAAGATTTACCCTCTCCATTATTTCTGTTTCTGATTAGTTTTTTGTAATTATTATTATTATTATTATTATTATTATTATTATTATTATTGTAAGTGTGTGTGCATGCCTGAATGTGCATGCTTGTGCCTTGGCGCACACTTGGAGCCCGGCGGGGGGCAACTCTATCACATCAGTTTTCCCTCCACCCTTATGTGGGTCCTGGGACTGAATTTGGGTCACCAGGCTCTTGCAGTTAGGGTCTTTATCCACCACACCACCTTGTCAACCCCAGCTCCTCCTCCTTCTTCCTTTCTCTTCTCTCCACTGTGATTGAACCGCAGACCTTGCTATGGTCTACCACTGAGCTACGCACCCCAGTGCATTTTTACTTTTTATTTTGAGGCAGGATTTTGCTCCATTCCTCAGGCTGAGTTGAGACTTCTTTGTAGCCTAGGGAGACTATGACCATATAATCCTTCTGCCTCAGCCTGTGAACACTAGGTCAGGTTAATCTCTGTCTTTCTTAAAGCTTCATGAGAAATATCACTTAGTTTGTTGATGGGTTTTATTCTAGGGCAACTCAGAGTCCAGCCAGCATCTTCCTTAGAGGACTTCCAGTCATCACTGTTTCCTGTGTACTACACAGGAAGTACAGCAGTGTCTTCCTTAGAGGACTTCCAGTCCTCATTGTCTGTTTCCTGTGTACTACACTGGAAGTACAGCAGCGTCTTCCTTAGAGGACTTCCAGTCCTCACTGTCTGCTGCCTACACTCCTGGTACACTGCCTTCCTCTTAACCTTTAACTGCAGCCCGGATCTTTTCCTGACCACACCTTAACTCCTATTGTTCTTTCTGTCTGTGTAGAGGTATTTGCTCCGCCTATGACCTTGGGCCATATGGCCCAAAGGAAGCAGTGCTTCCTGCCATCCTACATGACCTCTTAAAAGGAGAGGGAGAAGGGTCACATGCCCCTCCCCACTGCTCCTGCCTTCGAAGTGGGTTCACTCCCAGTCAGATCAGAAGATGACTTCAGTGGTCCACTCAGTTCTGTATTCGTGAGTGTATTTCCTCAGTTTATATCTTACTAAATCCCTATTACCCATTAAATAGACTCACATGGATTGATCATATGTCTGGAATGCTTTTCCTCTTGTTTTTACCTGCCTGAGGTCTCAGCTCACATAAAAAAGTATTTTTGATTTTTTTTTTACAATTATGACATGCCTATACTAAATTTTGATCCTTTTCTCCCTCTCTTACCTTTTCATCCCCTCCCTCCTTTTCCAATCCTTCTTTACAGCAACTCCTTCCCACCTTGACCTCTTCCTTTTCTTTGTGTGAGCCGCTGAGCTGCTTGCACCAGTGCACACTGAGTCCACTTTTCCAAAGAACTTTTCATTACTTCTTTCCTTAAACTAGTTCCCCAATAATGTCTCAGTGTCCTGTCTTTTCCTTTATGATGTTTACAATTTAAAAATGTGTATGTTCCTTTGTTTCTTGTCTCAGTCCCTAACTGGATAATTAGTTAGCTCTCTAGAGATGAGGGGAACCTGTCACGTGCTTGATGAGCATGTATTGGTCAGGATGGACACACTGTTTTTTCTTTTGTTTTTTTTTTGAACAGGGTTTTACTGTGCAGCCCTGGCTGTCCCAGAACTTGATACTTGGACTAACTTGGCCTTGAAATCACAGTGTCCTATCTGTGTTAGGATGGAGGACATGTGCCACCATGTGTAGCCCACAGAAATCACAATGTTCCGTGTTAGGATTGAGGACATGTGCCACCTTGCCTGGTCCACAGATTGATGTTTTCTAATGTTCTTATATGACAGCTAAACCATAGGGTTGTAAAGAAAAGTCAGGATATCATAACCCTTTCAGTTATGTCATGGTTAGAAGCAAGAACTACACACAACTACAACAAAATGTTGACTGAGCAACTGACTGGTCTTCAAATCAGCACCACCACTTTCTACTGTGAATGATCCCAAGGCTTCTTATGTTTTTTAAAAAATTGTTTAGAAAGGCAAAAGTTACTTTATATGGCAAAATCTGAAACCATGATAAACACGGGCTAAACAATTATTTGAAGGGATGGAAGCGAGGGAAACACAATGAAAGACACCACACACACACACACACACACACACACACAGAGACAGAAACAGACACATCACACACACACACACAGACACACACATACACCACACACACAGAGACAGAAACAGACACACACCACACACACACAGATGGAGACACAAACACACCACACAAATACATACACACACACACACACACCACAGAAAGACAGACAGACAGACAGACACACACACACACACCACAAATACATACACACACACCACACACACACACACACACACACACACACACACACAGAACGAGTGCGATGTATTGTACTAACCTTGGGGGAGCTGAAGCACCCCGGTGCTTATGCCCGAGACCAAGTCCCCCAACACGTACTCCTTGAATTTATATGCTGGCAACCACTTAGTGATGGGCAAGAACATGTAAATGATGTTCCTTACTTTTTTAGGAGTACATCTAAGAAGACAAAGACACAACGTTGTAAGAGACATCTCCATAGAACCCACACAGGAGTGTTCTCTATTCTTCAGTTCCATGGATGATAAGGAGCAAATCACAATCAGTGATTAAGATGCTACTGAAAAGGGTGGGGACACACAGGGACCCAAGACAGGGAGGCTGGACCATCCCTGGGGTAACGGGGGAGGTAGATATTTTAGAGTATGTGGAGAATTTGAGAACAGCTATGTGAACCTTTACATAGATGTAAAGCAGAATAGAAAACCAATAAACATGGTGTGCTGGTTAGTTTGTTTACTTAAACCAACATAACTTAGAGTCAGCTGGGAAGAGAGTCTTAACGAGGAACTGTCCAGATCAAATTGGTCTGTGGGGAATCGTCTTGATTGTTAACTGTATAAAGTGGCAATTCACCAAGCGGGGGCCTGAATAGTGTTAAGAGAGGAGATAGCTATCAGGGGTCCACCAGTATATTCTCCCCCTGCTCTTGACTGGCTATGACGCTTTCGGTTCCTACCTTGCCTGCCTGCAATGATGGAACCGTGAACCAAATAAATCCTTCCTTCCTCTGCTGCTTCTTGTCAGTCTGTTTTATCAGAGCAATGGAAATGAAACTAAGGCACATGGTGAAATGCATGATGGTCACGTGACCAATCAAAAGGCTGACAGCCCCTGAACCACCAGGAGTGGCTCTATAAGCTAGGAGTGCCCACTATTCATTCTTTCTCCATTTCCTCAGAGAGATCTCCTTTACACAGGCAACCTTGCAACTCTCCTAGTAGAATGCTGTAAAAGAGGAAATGGCTACGTACGTGAATGCCTGTTTCAGCTTATCCCCGATGGAATCTGAGACCTTGTCCTTGACATGCAGCCTCTCCTGAAGGACGGGATGACTAAAGATAGGCCTTTCCACGTAGTACTTCTGGGTTGCCGCAGGGATTTCATTTTCTTCAGCATGATCCATGGTCTGCAGTTATTCACCAACAGCAGGAGACAAGCATTTCTGAATGGTCACTAAGGGAGAAAATAAAAACCCATTTAGATGGTAAAAGCCATCTCTTCCTCAGGGTGTTCTAGGCTGTGAGGACTTCTCAGAAACCCCAGAACACTTCCCATGATGTTGTGTAGAGTAGGCACCAATAAATATAGTGAACAAAAATGAACTTAAAAACCCATACAACCTGTTTATTTCCCCTTAAAACAATAAATAGGTAACATGTAAATGTTCAACAAGAGCTCATGTGTAGTTTAGAGACTGTTCCACAGCCCCATTGCCTCTAGCTCCGTATTAGCGGAAGTGGGAGTCAGGGGAACTCTGATCAGCTGTCTGTCAAACTAACAGAAAAGATGGCAAGGTTGGTCCTTATTCTGACCACACACCTTGTGAAGGTATTTTACCGTCTTTCTCTGTGTTTCACTAATACTTGCTATTCTGTTCAGGGCTAAGGTGACTTGGTGACTTTTGCAGTAGCCCTGAGTTAAAATTGTCAGTGCACTATGGTATTGTTTCAAAGTTGGCTACATTTGGAGTAGTGTTGATACCTTTCCCTTGATGCATACTGAAAATTACTTATATAAGTAAAATAAATATTTACAGAATAAAAACCCAACATGGTTGGACATATGGGGGTATATACATACATACATGGGAAAACTACAATAGCAATTAGAAAAATGCAAATATGCACTTGTATGTAATAAAATTATGTAGCATGAATCTTAAAGAGTCTTATTAATAAAACCAAACCCAAGACCAGTTATTAGGGGTGAATGCTGGAAGATCAGAGAAGCAGAACAAGCCACAGCTTCCTCACCTCGCCATTTCCTCAGCTGGTCCTGTTTCCTCAAACTGGATGCCTCTGTGTCCTCATCCAAATGGATCTCAGCTGAACTGCTGCTCAAAAGCCTAAAAGCTTAACCAGCTAAAAGCTTCTAGTTTCTGGTCTTCAAGCCTTATATACCTTTCTGCTTTCTGCCATCACTTTCTGGGATTAAAGGTGTGAGTCACCATGCCTGGCTGTTTCCAGTGTGGCCTTGAACTCACAGAGATCCAAATGGATCTCTGCCTCTGGAATGCTAGGATTAAAGGTGTGAGTGCCACCATTTTCTGGCCTCTAGTGGCTGGCTGTTCTGTTCTCTGACCCAGATAAATTTATTAGGGTGCGCGATATATTGGGGAACACAATATCACCACAAAAATACACATTGTATAATAAATGGAACAAGACATAATAGCTAAAAGAAACAAAGTAACTATACATGTATTAGTATCAATAAATCTCAAGGACTTAATTTTTCATAAGAAATGAGACATAAATGGGCATGTGTATGTAATAAAAGTGAAAAGGTTGTGGGACCTGAGCAGCTGATGCAGGAAAATTGAAAACTCAAGTCTAGCCTGAGCTGCATGAAGTGATCCCACCTTTCATAAAGTCATTCATAGCAATGACAAAACAATCAACACAAAGACCAAGGTGGGGAAAAGGAGACTAAAACAGGAGAAGGGTAGTCCCCCTCCCTTTTTAAACAAGCTGCACCTGCAATGTTCAGGCCGTGAGCAGGGGTGGGCCTGTGCAGAAAGACTTGGTAGTGAGCTGTTAGCCAGACTAGGTCCCCGCCATCAAACCTTGGAGCAAACAGCTTAAGGAGGAATTGTTTTTAAATTTATAGCTTCAGTCCAGTTCAGCAGTGGGGTATGGTAAAAGAGAGCTCACTTTATGACAGCCAGGAAGAGAGAGAAAAGGAGTGGGGTGGGGGAAGAGAGGGAGAAACTGAGCCCTTTGAAATCCTCAAAGGCATGCCCCAGGGGTCTTCCTCCAGCACTTCCTAAAGTCTCCAGAGGGATCAAGGATTCAACAGATGAACCTGCGGGAGATATCTCCTGTTCAAACTATGACGCTGTGCTTGTTACCTGAGGGTCAGTGCTTGTTCTCACATTTGGATCATATACACTGTATGGAAAGGTAAGTGCACACCAACTAAACCCAGTGTTCCCCAAGTAAGTTGAGTTGGGGGTTAAATAAGTACATGGTTGTAAGGATTCTGTCCTTAATTGCATCATCAGCCTGCATCCCAGCCTAAAAAGTGGGTGGGCCCTCTGTGCGTCCCTCTCTTTCCTTTCTGCTCCTTCCTTCCGTCTGTCCTCTCTCTCCCTCTCTCCCCCCCCCGAATAAAGCTCTAAAAAGGTAACCACGGCTGTGATTCTTCCAATCAGCTCTCTCCTCCGCTGGCATGGCCGCCGCAGGCAGCTTGCCGGTTAACCAACATTGGTCACATGTGGACAGCCCTGGGATTGTGGCTTGATAATTTTGGTCAGCACAGCCCCCTCATGGCAAGAAGTCAGGCTTTGAGCTTTTATGAAACTGCAATCACATCCAATGAGGGGCGTGCTTAAAACATCAAACCAAAACAAATTCATCCAAGGAGAATGAAACTTCAACAGCCTAGAATAAAGTGGAATGTTGGCAGGAAATATGAATACAACAAGGGTGATAGGAAAAACTACAGTTTGAATATTTTTGTTGCTTTTAAAATTTGTGATGAAATGTACTTGCCCATTCAAAAGCACAAGGATGCACGGCCGTTACGGGTGAGCTACAGGATCTGCCCTCATAGACGGGATTTGGTGTCCTTTGCTAGAAGGAGTTTGCCTCTTTTCATGCCATCTGCCAGCTGAGGACATGGTTGGTGGTGTTTTTTTATAGCAGCACAAATGAGCAAGACAAGAGTTAAAACTCCAGCAAAGGAGGATTTTGCAGCAAAATCTGTAATAATCATTGTTCAGCTGGAGTCTCTGGCTCGCCCCTGCATGGTTCTCTCTCCAAACCCCACCAGCTCAAAGAGTCTCCGAACAAATGAAAGGTGACAAAAAGCCCAGTTCTGAATTCTTGGTGGCCACTGCAGCTTCCTCCCCAATGCCGCCAGCCGCCCAAGTCCCTGCCTAAGTGCTCAGCTTTTGACCAAACTTGGGCACAAACCCAGCTTGTGGCAGACATGTCATCACCCCTCACCTACAATCTATAAAATCTCCCTACTTTAGTTTGGGAGCACAACTTTTCTGGCCTTGATCTCTGGTACGAGGAGTTGCTTTGTTCAAATAAACTTGTTAAACTTTTTCAGTTCTGCTTGATCTGGCTTACTGCCTCAGAGAAGAAACCTATTATGGGGGAGGGAAGCAGAAAACCTATTAATCACATCTTTCATCTTGGGTTAGCAAAGCTCACTGGTGGCCTGGCCCTGGGGTGTGTGTGTGTGTGTGTGTGTGTGTGTGTGTGTGTGTGTGTGTGTGTGCAGAAAACCTATCAGGAACAATTCTAGACTTTCCAGTAATTAATAATGAAACTTAAACCCAAATGAGATTATTTATAAATGGAAGCATTATAGTATACCATACAATATAACCAATATATTATTGTGTAAAATAGCATGATTGCTAAAAGTAATTGAAACCAATGTTGGGGAATTTCAAATACAGTAAGGATACATTGTAAGGATTCTGTCCTTATTACATCATCAGCCTAAAAAGCGGACACGCCCTCCCATGCACTTTCTCTCTGTAATCTCTCTGTACTTCCCCTCCATGCGGTCTCTCTGTCTGTCTCTGTCTGTCTGTCTGTCTGTCTGTCTCTCTCCTTCCTCCTAATAAAGCTCTAACATGGCTCGTGATTCTTCTGCCACCATGGGAGGCAGTCAGCCACTAGTGCCACCATATACCCACAGTATTCAGCACCGACCAAACCTCGGCCACAGCCATAGCCTCGGCCAGCCACGAGCGCTACTGCACCACCCCTTCATTGGGGCCATTCAGACTCGGGGAGATCACTGAGGACCTACCAATGTTGTCTTGGTCTACCGGGAGGACCACCTGCGGCACACACTGCAGCCCTTAGCCCTCCCTTGACA